AGAATATGGCAAAAAATGAGGAAAAAGTTAACACCCAAATAACATTAAAAACAGAAAGATGTGGGGCCAGGAAGGGGCCTAAGAGGAGGGATTGGGAATTTATGAAGTAGAATTTATATGGAACTGTAACTAAATAGCTTCACATGGAAGAAAAATTGAGAACGGCAGAATTGTATTTTCTCTCTCTACTCGAATCCTGATTTTTGAAAGAATATTTTTTCAAGGAACATAAGAGGTGTGGTATTTTGCAATGACTATAAGAGGCGTGGATTTTTTTAAAGAATATTTTTTCATAGACTATAAGAGGCGTGGATTTTTTAAAGAATATTTTTTCAAGGACTATAAGAGGCGTGGATTTTGTAAAGAATATTTTTTCAAGGACTATAAGAGGCGTGGATTTTGTAAAGAATATTTTTTCAAGGACTATAAGAGGCAAGGACTATAAGAGGCGTGGATTTTTTAAAGAATATTTTTTCAAGGACTATAAGAGCTGTGGATTTTTAAAGAATATTTTTTCAAGGACTATAAGAGGCGCGGATTTTTTAAAGAATATTTTTTCAAGGACTATAAGAGGTGTGGATTTTTAAAAGGATATTTTTTCAAGGACTAGAAGAGGCGTGGATTTTTAAAAGAATATTTTTCAAGGACTATAAGAGGCGCGGATTTTTTAAAGAATATTTCACCAGGACTATAAGAGGCGTGGATTTTTTAAATAATATTTTTTCAAGGACTAATAAGAGGCGTGGATTTTCTAAAGAAAAGTTTTTCAAGGACTATAAGAGGCGTGGATTTTTTAAAGAATATTTTTTCAAGGACTATAAGAGGCGTGGATTTTTTAAAGAATATTTTTTCAAGGACTATAAGAGGCGTGGAATTATTAAAGAATATTTTTTCAAGGACTATAAGAGGCGTGGATTTAATTAAGAAAATTTTTTCAAGGACTATAAGAGGCGTGGATTTAATTACGAATATTTTTTCAAGGACTATAAGAGGCGTGGATTTTGTAAAGAATATTTTTTCAAGGACCATTAGAGGCGTGGATTTTGTAAAGAATATTTTTTCAAGGACCATAAGAGACGTGGATTTTGTAAAGAATATTTTTTCAAGGACCATTAGAGGCGTGGATTTTGTAAAGAATATTTTTTCAAGGACATAAGAGACGTGGATTTTGTAAAGAATATTTTTTTTAAGGAAGGAAGTCGATTTTAAGAATTACCTTTTCAAGGACTATAAGAAAAGTCAATTTTAAGAATTACTTTTTCAAGGACTAGAAGGTAAGTCGATTTTTTAAGGATTACTTTTTCAAGGACTATTGTAGGATTTTTTTTTTAATATTAGTTATTAAAGGATTTTTCTTTATTTATTTTATTCCCTGGAAATATTTTTAAAGACTATAGGAAGCTTGAATTTTTCTTAAAGTATATTTAGGGACTATAGGAGGTGTAGAATTTTCAATGACTAAAAATTCCTTCTAATGTCAGTAAAGTTATGGCTTTCGGTTGTATAAAATTTCTGATCATTATCTCTGATGTGTATTTTTAAGAAATTTCTGCTTAACCCACCGTCGTATAATATTTCCCACTATATATATATATTTATAAGTGCTAATCTGTTATCTTTCATTCAGTAGTAGTAGCATTTCAATTGTTGTTTATAGAAATTTCAGTCAACGTTTCTACAACGTTTTTGCTTCCTCATTCCTTGTCCCTACCCCCACATTATTTTCACTCACTGTAACTGAATTCATGTTGACTCGATTCGGACTTTGTGAAATGTTCAACAAGAAAGAAAGACAGACAGTTGTATTTAATATGATTTTGTACAAAGCTGAAGAAAAAAGAAAAACAAAACGATTTCTAATATTTGAAGTGGGTATAAATTGAAAACAGACGTCATAGCTACGACCCGGAAGTCATTCAAAAAAAGAAACAAAAAATGAAGCCACTACAAATCAAATCAATATTTTTTCTGCAAAAAAAATCATTCATATATAATCCGAGTGCCGACAGACAAATGAACAAATAAATGGATGTCATCACAGTAGCTGGTCCCTTTTTCGAGAGAGTGGTGGTTGTTATTATTGTTACTTCTATGGGCAACGAGGGGGCATTTTATGTGGGCTAAATAAATTATTGGTGTTTTTCTCTTTTTTTATATTAAATTTCAAAATGGAATTTCAAATATCTGTTAGGGTTTAGCAAATTTAACAAAAAGAAAAAAAAGCAGTAAGGAAAGAAGTAAAGTCTGACGGAGCCGGCTATATGATACCCTTCACCACTGTGGGTATATTCAACAGATGAATCCTAACAGACGTTGAAGGACCATAAACACGAAAATGGATCCATAAACATGTCATTCTGCAACCTATACTAAATTTTTCATATTGTCAGATATGGAGTTGCTATAGATATATATATATATATATATATATATATGGGAGTATCTAAATCTGGACCGTTTTTCAGGAAACTTAACACACATCATTTTAGACCCAATTCAGTACACTATACCAAATTTCGTACAAATCGAAAGATATATAGGGTATTTGGTGGACCATTTACATTAAATCGGACGAAAATATATATGGGAGCTATATGAACCGATCTTCAGGAAACTTAATACACATCATTCTAGACCTAGTTTGTTGCGCTGTGCCAAATTTCGTTCTTAAATCGACTCAAAAAGTGATTCTATGCATATTCTCAAAAGGAGTCATGTGTCTATCTCATTTCCTTTTGTCTGTTATAAACATATGCACAATGAATAATACCCTGCACCACTGTGTGATGAGGGTATAAAAAAATAATACTAATATTTGTGGTGTCGTTGGTGCTTTTCTGTATTCTATACGAAGTTGAAGATATAAAAGAAGATATAAAACCTATAACGTATTGATAATTCGGCACTCTGTTTACAATCTATTTTAGTTTTGAGGACATGTGGCGTATGAAGTTATGAAGTTCTAATTTGTCATACGTCCCAATGTACCACTAAAAGAACATTCTACAATTTATTTCGTTAATCTTTCTGATGTGTTTAAAAGGAGGACCGGTCATTCTTCAAAAAATGTCTTCCCCGACATTTTTGAAGCAATTAAATTTCTAGCCTTTTATTTTCTTCGACATTTTATAGCGGTTCACAAACCACAAAATTACAAGAGAAAACATAACGGCAAAAAGTCTTACCTATAAATGGAATTACTCAATAAAAAATGGGTTACCCAAATTCCAAGTTGTCAATGACATTAAAACTTTATGCTCCAGCATAAAGTAGGTACACAAATAATTTCACCAACATTGCCCCATAGCGCAAATAAATAAAATATTTTCTTCAATTTATTATTATTCTGCATTACGAAATAACATGTATTTGTTAAAATTGTATTTACTGGGATGTTTATGTTAAGCGTATAACTCGTTTTAATTTTTATTATATTTATTTTATGAATGTCCACGAAATTATGCAAACCAAAGTTGTATAGATTTTATGTCAAAGATAAACTGACCAGTAACACCCAACACACACCATAAACCATAAATATAAACGAACGTGCATTTTTTATGAAAACACCTTATACACACACAAAGGACACAAACGAAGAACATAAACAAATCACATTTCTTTTTTTTTTTTTTTTTTTTTTTGAAGTGTATCTTCTTGAGATATGCTTCTCCCCCATTTGGTTACAATGACAAACTATCTTGTAATGTAATATTATTCAGTTGGAAGTGTTGATTTCATACGTGTTTTATCTCTTAACAATCTCTAATGAAAAGTAAACGTTTGGTTTTGGTCTTTTGGAAATGAAATACCAAATGCCAGTTGTCTGTTACTAAAGGGCTGTGAGGGTGGTGGGTTTTCATGTAAATTTAGTACATTTGATTTGATTGAAATCTTAGGTTTATTGTTTTTGGGTAACAACAAACATTTGCAAATTTGAGGCTAGATTAATTTAGACCCAAAAATGTTGATCCATATCAACTCATATTTATGATAGAAATTTTAAATTGCACTCACAAAGTGTTACTACAGAGGTCTGCAGTGGGAATGTTTATTTGTGTATTTTAAACGTATACCACATTTTAAACAAAAACCTTTAATTTGGTATTTCATGTTGAAAACAATTTAAAATTTATTTTTCCAATAAGTATATAGCTTCTATTATATACAGGGTGAGATGAAAAAACGAACTTCAGCTGTTAAAATTATTTCAGTGATATCTCATTATATTGTTTACAAGCGTACAAAAGCATTTTGGTGAGAATTTTCGGAACAACTCTAGTTTAGTAAAAACGATCAGATTTTTCTGAAATTTTTTCCAAAGGTAGGTGTTTTTACCCTAATTATGGGGATATCTTTTTTTCTTGGGGGACGTACCCGGTTACCCGGTTATTTGACCCGGAAGTACGGATCCGGTTAATATAATTTTAAGGTTTATAAAAATACCTTTCCATTGAGTGTTAATATGATGGGGTTATCTCAAAACATTTTGGAGATATAGTCAAAATGGGTTTTGGTCCCCATTTTTTTTTAAATTCCCTAAAAGTCGAAATTGGGTCCATTATAGTCCCTCTCCATCCCAGACTCAAATTACCACGATTTGCTCTTTCCAAAACGGTGCGATATGTGGCTGTATCTGTTGTGGATCAAAAGATATGAGCCTTAGAACCCTACAAAAACAAGAAAATTCTGTCCATTGATCCACAACAGATACAGCCTCATATCGCACTATTTTGGAAAGGGCAAATCGTGGTCTATCATTTGAGATAACCCCATCATATTACCACTCAATGGAGCGATATTTTTATAACCTTTAAAATGAGACTCATTTTATATTAACCGGATCCGTAGAACCGGGTCAAATAACCGGTTAACCGGGTACGTCCCCCAAGAAAAAAAATCCCCACAATTAGTTAAAAATACATACCTCTCGAAAAAAAATTCGGAAAAATCTGATCGTTTTTACTAAACTAGAGTTAAGCCGAATTTTCCATAAAAAAGTTATTTGTGATGGAATTCACGCGTGATCGTGTGATTTCTGTATATTTGGCTGGAAAACCACAAGTGGATATCGTTAGAGCACTTCAGCACTTAAATGTGAATACATCTTTTGTGTCTCGTACCATCGCTCGTTACCGTGATACTGGTAGTGTAGCCCGACGTCAAGGAAGTGGACGGAAGAAAGCAGCAACATCAGCAGAAATGGTTCGAAAGGTAAAGAAGCGACTTGATCGAAACCCGCGTCGCAGTGGCCGAAAAATGGCTCGTGAGCTGCACATATCGCAATATTCAATTCATCAAATATCGAGCTCATTTCCAAAAAGTGCAAGAACTTACACCGTAATAGAAAGAAAATAGATTCAAAAGAGCTTGAGAGTTGCTTCGCTTGACCGAAAGTGGTGAACTGCCGAATTTGGTTTCCTCCGATGAGAAAACATTCGTTGTCCAGCAGTTTGTAAATAAACAAAATGATCCTGTTTACTTGCCAAAGAGGTCAGCAGAAAATGTGCACCTCAAGCGCCGGTCACGGTGATGGTGTGGTCCGCCATAACATATGACGGTCGCTCTCCGCTCGTATTAATCGATCGTGGCATCAGAATAAATGCCGAATATTATCGCCTTGGGCACGCAAACATTTTGGCCGCAGACCTTGGACAATCCAACTGGACTAAACATCGCACTCAGCATGCATCACCCAAGTATGGTTACAAGCAAGGCTGGCACTAGAAAATACCAAAGTGTCGATCACCGGGAATGGGCCAAAATACCGCAGAGCAACATTCGGGCAGCGAGTGACGGTTTCATTGGCCATAGTACCTGTCAATTCGAACAAATCTAAACTTATTCTAAAATTTGATGCTATTTCCGACATTTTTGCGGATCGTTATGAAGTTATACATGAGGTTCCGGTTATGTTCAGGTACGACACCTACAAATGTCGGTGATAATGAGATGATATTTAGAAAGGAGGATTTAGAAAGAAAGGATGTGGCCAACTATTTATTTAGTGTCAAATAAACCAAGTTTCCGTGAAAAAATTCCCAATTTGAATCGTATGCCATAAATGCTTACTCCGGGAAAACATGATTCGTAAAAAATACCAGGACAAGAAAGAGGAGCTCTCGACATCTCATTAATTAATAGGGTGCAAATATCTCGAAGTAACCCCAGGCACGGTGGTAGTTGTGTGGGGTATCATATGATCGGCCGCGTCCGACTATACTGCTCCGCTCACTGGTCTCTTTTATTTGTATGCCGTAAAAAGTTTTCAAAATACAAACATTCACTCTATCCTGCACACCATCGTACATGCAATTATGACGACTTGTACTAGATTACAAATTTTAAAAGACAGACTGGCGGATGCACTAGCCTTTCTTAAATCGATCGTGGACTTTATGTGTCGATCAGTATCAAAAAAAAAAAAGAAAAAATAGCGGTCTTATGTAACCAGAACTCGTCCTACATTCAAAATTTAGTGACGATCTGTCCATAACAGTGACAGTGAAGTCACGAAAGAGCTCGCAATAATGAATATAAAGGATTTGAATTGTGTTAAGTGGAAAATGCAGGAAAGACTTTTAATATTCCGACAACGGGCTGGACCTTTATACATAGTTGCTACTACTCCTAGCCCTCCTATAAGGGAACACTCAATGTTCGGTATTTTAAAGTTTGGGAATGTTTTTCAAATAATATGGCTCTAATTGGATTTTTCAGTACTCCCTATTGTCTAAATTATTAATGTTTAATTGACATTAGATAATTACTGCAGAAGCTTGAATCTAATATTTGTCATTGAATATTCTGCAAAACAAACCCCTGGTATTAAATGTTCTTTCCATTTAGCTATCATAAATAAACTGAATCCTCAAAACATGGATTTGCTACTAGTCCTTTTCGCTCCTACTGTTAAATAAAATATTTCATTTCGTAAATTCAATCTTTGTCAAAGAAGTTCCTTATTGATGCCAATGATTAAATCAAAAACGAAAAGATGCTACTTTTAAAATGAAATTATATCTTCAACATTGATATTATCACTACAAAAACAACATCGGCAGCGACAATAAAAATATAGATAACCTATTTGGAGGTGGGGTGGGTAAGCCATTTTAACCTCAACATCGAATCGCTCAAATGTCATTCATATATTTTTCATTTCGTAGCTCTATCTTCATTCTCCCGCCCGAGACCCATCTCACATTGAAAACATTTGAAAAATTCATTTTTATTGCTTTACTACGTGATTATTATATTTCGATGTTGATTCCTTTTTTCATTTCTTTTCTGTTGATACATTTTTTTTTCTAATGGCGTTTTATCTCTGCTTCAAGTAAATGGCAAAGATGTTGAACAAAAAATAGCAAGCAAGAAAAAATTGTAGAAAACGAAAAATATCCATTTCCATTTTTCTAAGAGTTATTATTGAATTAGGTAAGGAAAGAAGGGCATGAATATGGCAATTGAAACGTTTTTACGACCAAGCGATTTATTTTGTCTTCTTTACAATTCGAGTGTGTGTGTGTTTTCATTTTTCATTGAGAGTTTGTGTTGCTTGGACACCGAAATACTCGTCTTCATTTTTATCATTCCGAAACATGCACACACAGAACGAGAGATCCATATTTGAAGGTGGCCAACAAAATGATTTATGTTCACAACTGACCGAAAATGTCCATTTAGAGTAACATTTTCTCTTCTAGACAATTTCCGAAGCAAACAAATCATTATTTATAATGTGCATACATTAATGGTCATCCATCCGACCAAGGGAAGGCGGGATGGTATTTTAGTAATCGAATCTAGTTGGTGCCTAGAGGAGAAAGTAATAGGTATGAAATAGAACGACATGGGAGTGTAAAATTATGCCACAAGGTATTGTCAAATAACTAACAGTGGAGGACAAAAATAATTGCAGGTATAGAACCGAAAAGACAGACCTATGGATTTTAGTCAATAATCCCTCTAGGGCTCTTCTAAGCGTTGTATGAGATGACCATAAGAGACGTGTATTTTTTTTAAGATTGTTATTTTAAAGACAATTAGAGGCGTGGATTTTTTATAGGACTCTAACAGGTGTGTTTGTTTTGAGGACTATAAGAGGCGTGGCTGTTTAAGTACTTTTAAATAATATTTTTTTCAAGGTCTCTAAGAAGAATTTTTCAAGGTCTCTAAGAGGCATGGATTTTTAAAGAATATTTTTTCAAGGTCTCTAAGAGGCGTGGATTTTTAAAGAATAAGTTTTCAAGGTCTCTAAGAGGCGTGGATTTTTAAATAATATTTTTTCAAGGTCTCTAAGAGGCGTGGATTTTTAAAGAATAATTTTTCAAGGTCTCTAGTAGGCGTGGATTTTTAAAGAATAATTTTACAAGGTCTCTAAGAGGCGTGGATTTTTAAAGAATAAGTTTTCATGGACCAACAAACCAATGGGCGTGGATTTTTAAAGAATAAGTTTTCAATGTCCTTAAGAGCGCCACCCATCTTAAAGAATAGTTTTTCAATGTCCTTAAGAGCGCCACCCATCTTAAAGAATATTTTTCAATGTCTCTAAGAGGCGTGGATTTTTAAAGAATAAGTTTTCAATGTCCTTAAGAGCGCCACCCATTTACAGGTCTCTAAGAGGCGTGGATTTTTAAAGAATAATTTTTCAATGTCCTTAAGAGCGCCACCCATCTTAAAGAATAATTTTCAAGGTCTCTAAGAGGCGTGGATTTTTAAAGAATAATTTTTCAATGTCCTTAAGAGCGCCACCCATCTTAAAGAATATTTTTCAATGTCCTTAAGAGCGCCACCCATCTTAAAGAATATTTTTCAATGCCCTTAAGAGCGCCACCCATCTTAAAGAATATTTTTTCAAGGTCCTTAAGACCTTTATTTGCTTTTAAAAATAGCCTTTAAATGGAACTAACATTTCAAAGAGTTTGGTGAATAATTACATATGTAAAAACGTTTTTCCGTTTTCCTTTTTTTCTTAACCAATTTTCAAAAAAAACAACACACACACATACGCACACAATCCGCTTCCTTTCCTTTTTCCTTCTTTGATAATCTTATGATATTTGTTTTTAAACCACGTTAGTGGTTCTTGCTTTTGGCTTTGTTTAACATACATTTAGATTATGTTCCAAAACTAAACACAGCATGAAATTATATGCTCGTGTGATATTTTCTTTATTTAATTTTTAGCAAAGCAAACCGTAGCCACACAGACACATATATATGTGTAAATATAACCGCAAGGCTCTTATCAAATAAACGGTTATTTGACAACGCGGCGTAAGAAAGGTGTGACGTCAACATTAATAGTCACATCACAGCTCATACTCTCTTGGGAATGGAACAATGTCGTATTCAGAGAAACATTAAAAACCGTTAAAACGAGAAAAAGAAACAAAATAAAGAAAAAAGAAACCTTCAAGGGAATAGAAAATCTGAAAATTCAAATGTGTAATGTTACAAAGCAGCCGGGGATATTATTTTGGATGATTTTAAATGGGTATTTTCTTATTTAAGATAAGCTAGACAAAAGGATATATTTAAATCTTTGATTGGAAGGTATTTGCATATCCACTTAAGAGGGATTATAAATAGTATTAGATAATTTCAATAGAGCAAATAATTTTTTTCAGAATGCTTAGAAAACAAATGAAAGCAATAAGTAAAGTTTTCAAAAATAGTCCTTGAATGATAGAGTCCTTGAAAAAATATTCTTTACAAATCCTCACTTGTTTTCGATAGGGTCCTTGTAAAAATGTTCTTTACAAATCCTCACTTGTTTTCGATAGGGTCCTTGTAAAAATGTTCTTTACAAATCCTCACTTGTTTTCGATAGGGTCCGTGTAAAAATGTTCTTTACAAATCCATTAATTTTTGATAGGGTCCTTGAAAAAATATTCTTTAAAAATCCACGCCTATTGTTGATAGGTTCATTGAAAAAATATTCTTTAAAAAATCCACGCCTATTGTTGATAGGTTCATTGAAAAAATATTCTTTAAAAAATCCACGCCTATTGTTGATAGGGTCATTGAAAAAATATTCTTTAAACAATCCTATAGTTAATAGGGTCCTTGAAAAAATATTCTTTAAAAAATCCACGCCTATTGTTGATAGGGTCATTGAAAAAATATTCTTTAAAAAATCCTATAGTTAATAGGGTCCTTGAAAAAATATTTTTTAAAAAATCCTATAGTTAATAGGGTCCTTGAAAAAAATTCTTTAAAAAATCCACGCCTATTGTTGATAGGGTCCTTGAAAAAATATTCTTTAAAAAATCCACGCCTATTGTTGATAGGGTCCTTGAAAAAATATTCTTTAAAAAATTCACGCCTATTGCTGATAGGGTCCTTGAAAAAATATTCCTTAAAATATCCACGCCTATTGTTGATAGAGTCCTTGAAAAAAATTCTTTAAAAAATCCACGCCTATTGTTGATAGGGTCCTTGAAAAAATATTCTTTAAAAAATTC